TAAGATACTCGATCGACCGTCACAACGACGACGACAACGATGGCGATGAGGATGAGTTAATCATCCATCGATGAGAATGGCAACGTCAATGAGGAGCGAACGAGCGGATTGAACGCATTTTGTTTATAAAGTGTTTGTTCGAGATAATGTCACGGTGAGCGACAAAGAGAGAGAGAGAGAGAGAGAGAGAGAGAGAGAGAGAGAGAGAGAAAGAGAGAGAGAGAGAGGAGGGGGGGGGGAGAAGAGAGAAAGAACTCCACCGAGTTTGCATCGAATGGGGCTGTGCATGTTTAATGAGTTAATTTTTCGTTGCGGACACAAACAACGTGCAAACAACGGGGCGTAATTAACAGTTCGTAGATAGAGTTGCAGATACCACTGATGAGGAACACGTGCGCGCAGTCGCTCAGGGTTGATTCCGTGTTTTCACCCGCGTTTCGTCGACCGTACGTAATACGTTGTGAATGAGTCGCCTGATTACGGGCCTGCGAAAAAGAAATCCCAAGGTGAAAGTTCATGAGAACGCGTTACGGTTCTCTCTGCGTCGTCTTGTGCGACACACAGCTCGCTTAACAAGAGAAAGTGGGAAAAGTCGACTCGACCCGTCGCCGTCGTCGTTGAATAGACACCAACGGGCGTGCATTTCCCGGAAATATCTTGCATGGACGTCGAACCCGGATAATAAAATCTCAGTAGATAAAAATTTATCAAGATATTTCATTCTTTTTTGTGTATATTAATATTATTTTATTGTACAAATATAAGAGCTATTATTGTCCAAATATAATAGAAGAGTATCCTTTTCAGTATAGAGAACTGATCTGAATAATCAATAAAAAATATTTCTCAATTCGCAAAATTGATTTCTCTCTCCAGTTACTTACATATCGAGGTAATGTTTACACGAGTTTCGAATGCACAGTACTCGTGAGTCGCGGGTCTCAGGAGGGCAGAGGCGAGATTGTGCGCTCGCGGCGTAAAAGTTGAACGAGAGTTAGTGTGGCCCACGTTCTCGATGTTCCGTGTGTAACGGCACCTCCGGTTTTTCTCCGAAGTTTGCCGGTGACATTATTGATTGAAAACTCGACGGCTGCGTTTTGGCGCGCGGGCGAGTTAACCAGCAGTACGTGGAGTGGACCCGAGGACCATCACGGGAAATTGACACGGTTCGCAGCAAACACGGTTCGCCGTGTAATTATCGCCATCAATCGAGTTCGGAAGGCAAATCGAGTGATGGCATCGGCGATTCTCGCGCGAGCTCTGATAATACCCGCGATAAACGCGTGCAATTTCTTCGGTAAAACAGCCAACGTTGAATAACGCTTGACAATGGTATCCACAATGAAAGAGAAAAAGGAAACGTTCTGTCCCACACAATGATATATGTGATATACATAAAACAAGCATTCTGTTTGTAACTTGAAGCCGGAAGATGACAGTTTAACAGGGTCCGTGGTTCTGTTGCGTCTCTTTCCATCTTCAGAGAAAGCAGAGATAACGTGAAACCTCAACAATCACTTAGGGCGGTATTCATAGTCTGTTCTTGTTTCAAGACTGTCTTAAGATGCTAAAATGGCTCTTTGATTGATTCATGTCATCTTGTACTTAAGATGATCTTAATTATAAAAACTGATTATGAATACTAGCCTTATAGACTAAGTTATTTCACCTTTCGATAAACTTAATTCAGTTCACTCTCTTACTCTCTTATGCTCTTACTCTTTTGTTTATCCATTAAATAAATCATCACATAGTTTATCCGAATGGAACAATCAGTCCTTAAACTGTCAATTTCGGACTTTATTTCCACCATTGAAAATGTGGCAATGCTTGAGTTATGTATACATATGTCATTGATCCCACACAGCAGAAATATCTCGAATATATCATATGGATATCCTACAGCAGCAATATCTTTAGACTATCACCGTAATATAATTTGGACATTTCTGCTATATATGGAACATAAATCGTCGTACATTATGCAAATCGTATTGTGTAACAACTGTAACAAGTCGCCGTATTCTCCTAATCCGTTAGATCCGAACTGTCGAAATTTATGAAACAGCATAAATTGAAGTTCAACTTCTGTTTTGCCGGATGCAAAGAGCCGTATTTTTGTTCGAGCGTATTTGTAGTCGAAGCGCGAATCTCACCACGGTCAATATTATTGTGTATATAATAATTCGTATTGTGCAAATGTTGAGGATTGGGTCAATACACGAAAACAATAAAAGTAAGTTTGGTCTTTATTGAAGTTCCGTCGATATGTAGTACGTATACCGGAAAACATTGCACGACGTCATGCGAGTTTACTTCAGCATAGTTATTGGAAATATAATTGATTATAGGAATCGTAGAACGTTAATAAATGTTTAATTTATTTGTTCTTTTTCAGTAACTTGGTAACACGATATTAATAATTTGCATTTTTTTTTAGCACTTGTGGTAATCTTTTCCAATAAATTATCGATCATCGCCCTTTTGTTTTTCTTTTCTCGTGTAACTGTGACATGCAAACTATATTATACGATCGCAACTGTATGTATCATTTAACGTGTTGCTTCGATATTCAAAGCGTTTATCGAAGACAACTCCGAACAATCGGAAACCAACTTGAGTTTTCTTCTAATATCTTTCTATTCTACAGACGCCGATGTATTTCTTCGACAATAACGATCGTTCGAAAAGAGTAGAATTAATCGTCCTATTATCGGGTTCTGAAAACGGAAAAGATAGGAATCACAAAGAAATGGGCTACCTCGTTGATATCAATTGAATGGCATTCGAGCAGCGAAAACTGCAACGGACTTTCTTGAATCTCTTCAATGGCGCTACATTTTCTCGCGAGGCGTATTAACGATCCGCCGAGCGTAAAGTGACTTGGGATACGTTCCACACCGCTGTAGAAGAATTGCTCGAGTTAAATTCTTTATAAGGGACACCAGGGAATGCTGAAGCATCCTTGAGCAATGGGTCAAGCATCGTTTCTCGACGACTTGGTCGGCGATGCAATCGGCGTATCCGCTCGGATGCAATGGAGAAATGTGTTCCAGCGGTAATAAATCGGCGTGATTGCACGCGGGTTTCGAATTCGTGCATACGCGTGTAAAGGGGACGGAATATATAAACGGCTATAAACATTTAACATGGGCAATATAGATATATCCAGAGATGTGTTCGGATCCTCGCTTGAATACTTCTCGGATGTCACAAGAATGACACTCGGGAAGCATCCAAGTAGGAATCCAAGTAGGAACGCGGAGAGTTTAGGGAATTCGAACTTCTCCGAATCTTTTTATTCATAATTCTTTAGTTTTGTAAATTTTATTGAATGATCTTTAACTTATTCATTATTTCTTCTTTTCTTTTTATTTAACTGTAACTCATTATCACATTTTAATATTTTTTAACAATATTTAGCAATATTTCTTGTACCTTTTTTTTTTAATTGTTTTCTGAATTTTTTTCAATTTCTTTCCCTAGAAAAGTAATCATGAATATTTTATAAAAATAATAACAGCAATATTATAAAACTATATATTTTGTTTTTAAAACTGTATTTTGCCTATACTTTCTTCAAGAAAAAAAAATAAAAGTTATGATTTACAAAATCTAAAATATTTTTCCTATTCAAGATCAGAAATGAGGAGAAGATATTCTAAGTTCTAAAATATAACAAAAATTAATTACTA